TCAAAACATTATACATTGATAGTCTTAAATCATCACATTATTCCTATCAAGTCATTTACCTCAAGGTCTCTTAGGTATTTTACTACTCAAATTCAGGATGGCTCATTTTAATTCATATCAATGAATATTCAAAGAAATGGCGGTGTTTGTTTTAATATTGGATTTTAAGAAGGAGCATCGTTTCTCGTATAAGTTAAGTAAATACAGCTGTAGACTGCTAGAAAAATTAACAAGGTCATACTGGTTTCTAATTCTTTATATCTGGTACTTTCCTCTATCTCTCTGCTTCATCGGATCTTCATCTCTTTTTAAAATCTCATTGGAAAACTAATTTCCCCCTTGCCACTACTGCTCAGTTATTTTCTCTCTTTTATTTATTAATTCAACTCTAAATAATACTGGAATGGAGGAAAAGTCATATCTGACATCCCGCATATCCTGTCCATTCACTGTTATATGGAGGTGGGTTAAAATTTTTACGTGAAAACTGCCTGTGAGTTGCAAATTGAGTCTGCCAACAAAATGAAGGATTTTGTCAAAGGGATTTGGCTTTAGCGTAAATTTCATCAACAGACAAGAGAGCAAAGAAACATCAGCCAGCCCCTCCATCCTACATCCTGCTCCAAAAGATATTCTCTATTTGGAGATGTCATTGCAATGCCTTGGGATATTGCGTGGGTACATCCTATTAAAATGTCTTCTCTATAGACCGGCTTCCTCAGCTAATTATATATCATCTTGTGTGTAACAGAAAATATAATCCAGGTGGTGTATCTGGGCCATATGGGAGACCTTAAACTTAATACAGTTGCTGATATGTATACAGCTTGGTATGCTTAATACAGCTCTCGGGGAGCATTAATTTTTGATGATTAACTTTAATGGTTTGGGTGGAAAAAGGGAGGAATAAGCATTTTCCAATTCAACTGCACAACCTGAAGTGCAGTTGGTATGGTTTATAACCACTGTGTACTGCGTTTCCTTTCCCGTTAGGGAATTCCCACAGAAGGACTCGGCTTCATTACAAGGCTGTAACAAGGCCATATCTTATCCCACTCCTCCATTTGACTCGAACATGTGGCCTTTTTGGTGAGAGGTAAATAGAGTACGATGCCCTGGAATCTTTCAAAAAGTAAAAGCTTTGGTCAGTGTCTGAGTAATAGTTTTAAAGTATAAAAGAAAAGTTGATTACTATTAGCAAGAAACTGAGATTATATTGATATCTGGAGTTTGATTTTTAAAGGGAAAGACAATACTGCCTATGAGAGATTTTTTTCTTTTGTAAGTACTGGGCTGTTTGTGAAAGATATTAAAGGATTATAAAATAGAATAGATAGGTAACAGATTGCAGAATAGGGCAGACATCCTGTATCAATAGAGATAATTTGCAAATATTTAGCATCTATGAAGACTACAAAGAAGGTCTACAAAGAAATGCTTTTCAGAATACATCTTAGATCTCTAAGGTCAAACACTGAATGGATTTTTTGTGTGTTGCTGTAAAGACTCACTTATCGTCTAAGGTGACAAATGTTGCTAACTATATAGTTTTCAGAATGATTCATAATCTAGCAGAAATAAGATATTTCAACTACCAGCCCTCAATATACAGTATTATTTCAGGATCATGATATTCTCTCTCTGGTTATATCACATAACTATTCAAGCAATGGAAAACTTTTTCTCTTTACTGTGACAAAACCTCATAGCATCTTGGACTGAATGTCTAGGAATTTTTGTTCTCCTCACAGGGCAAGTCAGCTCTCTAATTATGTCCTAGGTCAGCTCATGTTCACTGCATTTTTGGCTGAAAAGCTGCAGAACAAAGTGACCTCTTGTCAGCCAACCACACAAATACGTACCAGTGTATTCCTAAATAAGAAATTAAAAATCTGTGCAATCTATATAGAATTGGCTCACAAAAAAGTTTTGCTATTTTCTCAGGATTTTCATTTTTAGAGACAGATAGAAAGCCAAACAAGATTTTGTTAAGTCATGATTCTGAGTATTTTGCAGCAATCACTGAAGAAATGAAGGCCATATGAAAGGTGCTTTAAAGCAGACAAATTACTGAGCTGCTTTAGTATATTTTTAAATTAATGTATGAGTTCCACTTGTAGCTTATTGATAGCCTTGTGTAACTTTCCTTCTCTATTTATTTCTTTATTATTTGATAGAGTCTTTCTCAGAAGATACAAATATTTTTCACAGAGAGGGCTTGATCTTTCAATAGTTCTCTGTGTGCAATTTGTATTGCACAAGAGTGCAAATGTAAATTTCTTGCACATTTAGCACAGTCTAGCCTCCTTCCCTTGTTCTGCTTGTTCTGGATATGCATGGAAAGATGCATCTCTATGTTCTGGGTTCACCGTCACTAATTTGTCTTACTTATAAAATTGTTGGAAATTGCCCCATTTTGTGGAGTGCTCACAGTAGTTTATTAGGCAGCTACTTGATTTCTGTAAGCTTACATATCTTTCATGAAACCTTGGGAGCACATGACAAGATATGACTTCCATTTATGAGCTGCAGAATTCCTACTGGTTGTGATTAAAAGCAAGCATGCTCCCCTAGCATGGTCCTCAATGTCATCTTGATAATTTTGCAAAAGTCAGCAAGGTATCGTATAAGAAATAGCAGTTCATACTTGTGAAATTTTAAAATCCTGCAGAGTTCGTCAGAGTTTCACAAAGTTAAGAAACTGATACAATCTGTTGAAACTGGGGTATTTAGTGTTTGAATTTGATGGAGACATTCAATTTATTGTATTGTATATAAGAACAAAGCCTCTTTTCTTTTTTAAACACAAATGACAGGTAAAAAGGGATGAGGACAGGACTGCAAAAGCTGTTCTATTTTACTAATGAGTGTGTTTATTAGTATCTAAGGATACCGTTCTCTGCATTTTTATTGACTACTTAAGACATTAATAAAATTTCTGAGGTTTTCATACTCAACTTGTTCTTGAACTTTAGCTGAATTGTTTACTCTCCAGTAGAGGGATGTCTTTGTGGTAAATTCATACTAAATCCAGTAAACAATTATTTCACTTTTATCACATTTCTTGTGGGTATGCAACATCATCCCTATTTTGACACTGCTGCTGAGAATACAAATGCTGATATTTCCCTCCTTGAGGGCTACTGGGAAGCCTGAAAGATTATAGTTTCACTTGCTGCATATACCCCTGACACCCTCTTTTTTTTTTCAATATACAAATCCCATTCACATTTGGCCGCTATACTTACACAGTATTAAAGTTATAATGCACATTTCTTCAGCACTATATAAATATAATTTTCTAATTTAACACTGCAAATCAGCAGACTGACTTCCAGTACTAGATAGAGCATGCCTGTTCTAACTTACTAACAAAAGGTGTATTCAAGAGCTATGCATTTAGTTCAGTTAGTGACTTAGGGAGAAAATAACCCCTATGCAACAGTACTGGAAGATGCCAGCAGTTTATTTATCTCCCCACACCTAAGAGGGAAGAGAAGTTTATCGTTAAAAGATACTCCTTATGCATTATAAAAAGTGAAACCAGAAAATGATTCTTTTTTGGTAGAAATGGATAGGAGTAGTTTAAACTCTCTATATAACAAAGAGCTGTAAGGCCTGTGTATCTAGTCTTGTTGCACAACAGACAAGTCTAAGCAATACGTAGACCTCTAGGAGAGCTATTTGCCATGTCACTCAGTATTGACAGATATTGGCAGATAATCTATTGATAAAAGTTTTTATGAATATAAGCTTTATAATTTAACATCCTTGAATATTTGAAATTGTTCCTATTCAATTGAATAAAATCTCACTATTTCTCTTGTTTAATTCACCTGGTTATTATTTTAGTATCAACAAACAAAACAAGGGCAGTGCAAGTCATAAAGTGGCTTACTATGGTAACAGATCAAAACCTGAAGGACTTCCATTAATGTAGGAAAGTAAGGTTTCCTTGCATTGGCTACCAAATATTATAAGCAATCTGTCTTTTCCCTCTAGCTGTGCTATTTAAATTGTTTGGATTTTTTCCCAGTTTACCCTTTTTTTCTGCATCATTAAAGCTGCATAATCTCAATAGAGAAGTGCAGCCAAGGAAGAAAATTCTCAGATACTTACAGAGCCTAATATCCCTAAATCTTTCTTTCATGTCTTGGCTTATATTTCTGTTCTTTGTGGTCTTCTCACATACCCATTAGTTCCATTGTGACTTTCAGATGGGGACAGAGAAATAGCAGGAACTGACTTAGCAGGTGACTGTTTAAGGTACGGACACCAAAAAAATCCTGCCTATGTCTCTAGGAATGAAGGCACTGATTAGCACTAAATTTTACGCTGCAAGTGCGAGGCCCTGTAGCCAACTGGAAATGACAAAACGCGTTTTGTGCTTTGGGAGAAGCAGGCTTCAGATTATGCTTTCACAAGATGTGCTGTGTATGCACCTTGTACATTTACTTGTAATGCAAGTTGTTGCCCACTTTTGTGTGAAATCACATAATTTTGACAGAATGCCAGAAATTTGACATGAATCCCATGTAGTTTCTCTCTCTTGTAACCTTTTGTAACCTTCTAAAGAAGGCTGGTGCACTCTCATTTAAGCACAGATTATTGCTAAATAATGTTGCAAAATTAAATCACATTGACATTCACCTTAATTGTATTGTTTCAGTGTCACTCTAATGTAAAGTTTTTACAGTCCATAAATCAAAATATGTTCAAGCATATGATCCATTTATCCACGTCTGTAAATGTAGTTACGTAAATGAGACAGGTATATCTACTGCCTGCCTGCTGCTCTACTTGATTTTGACGTGAAACAAGACAGTCAGTAAGAAGTCAGAAGTAAACCAACAAAAAATCAGTACAAAATAAAATGTCTACTTATATAGCATTGTGTGTGGGATAAAGTGAAAAGTTTAAAGTATATTTTTGCATATTAAAATACAAAACATATTGCTCTTTAGGATCTGAGTTTGGGTGATGCTGTAAGTGAGACCTACTTTCTCATAGTACTTGATCTCGTAGTCCAGAATGGCTCCATGGGGAAAGTCCGGCTCTTGCCAGGAGAGGGCAATGCTGTTTTGGGAAGCCCAGTCCTTCCTTACCATACCTATCAAGGAAGGCGCTGAAAGGGAAAAGGATAACTAAGGGTTAAAGACGAAGCACACGGTTTATCCTTTCAACCTACTGTCTTAGGATACCGACCCGAGGTAACTTTGAGCGACCTCCAGGCAGAAAAGCATGACAGATGGCAATTCTCAGGGAAACCATATAACCTGGAATTAATGTCTCAAGTACATACCGGTAACGCCTTTGTTAAAGTGCAGACCAGCTTCTGAAAAATGGCTATATACAAAAACATAGAAAGAAGCGCCTGTGCTGGTCCCCGCCGCCGGCTGCGCGCAACCAGGTTGTGCTGCTGGCTCCGAGGACATCGCGTCCAGAGCAGAATACCGTTTCAGAGACAGTAAATTCTACATTCAGGATAATCTGCATTAAATGTCATAATTCAACTGTGTAAAATGTACATTCAGTTTACTCTTTGGCGTAAAATAAAGTGACACAGCCTAAACCAGATGCAATGGATCCTGTTTCTGCTGGCTGGGCTGGCAGCAGCAAGGGCATTTTAGCCCATCAGTGAGGTACCTGTGTGCACGGAAGAGCCAGCTTGGTAGGGGAGGCCAGTGGCAGGGACTGGGTTACAGGCAAACCGTGGGGGCAAAGATGCCCCCAAACCTACCTGCTGTCATTGGTAGGTCGCAGGTCTGCAGCAGCGCAGCGAGTAGGAACCGCTTCCAGCAGCTTTTGGAAGGGGCCCGACATGGGTGGATGCACCCAAGAGCCAAATTATCTCACTATGGGGTTAATCAATTTTAAGAATTGGATCTTCTGCCCTTTTGGAAAAGAAGGTGAACTGTTATCTATGCAATAATTTCAAATGGTGCAAAAACTGCATTCTAGAAAATGATCTTTGCTTATTTTATTAATCTGGTCAAGCATGTCAAAGGAGGTCTAATATTCTCCAGACACTAATGCTGTTTTAATAGTGCAGCTTTCCCAAATGTTACAACAAAGCCAGTCATGTTGTTCAACAGTCTTGAAGACAACTGCGTAAGCTGAACAAACCAGCTCCCATAAAATTAAAAAAGAAATTCTTCCAGTGGTTCACAGCTTTCACTATTTGTCTTTCCACTAACAAATATCTGTTTATTACGCACCCTCCCCCATTCCTCTCTATTATGAATCTTAACCTCTTCCAAGCTTCCAAGGAGCTGTCTCCTGAAAATAACACATTTTTATGACTGCTGTTTTTATCTTTTGAATGAAAGAGTCTCCCTAGGAAAATGAAAAAAGAATCTGCTTCTAGTCACAAAATTTCACGCCTTAGTTTTCTTTCCTGTAAATATTTCAGGAAGTGTAAGAAATAAAAACAATAAATAAATTCTAGAATGCAAACAAATAGTAAAGAAAACAAAAGTGGTTGTTTTCCTTTGAAAAAAGGGAAACTCTACACAGAGACATGCACATAACAATCTCTTTCTCTGTGACAGTGCATTTATCCGAGAGAGAAAATAAACTTCCATCCACTGTCAATCTTCCCTGTGGATAACTATTCTGTGGTATAATAGTCCAGTCCTCTCTGATGTGAAAAAACCCCAACCCAACATGTAACACTAAACGAAAAAAACCTACCAAAAGTATTAAGGGAGCAAAACAGAGCTTACACAGGAAACTGTCCTACACCTGTACTTATGCCATTTTAACCATAGGTCTGATGCAAGGGAATGAGAGAAAAAAAAGAATTCCTGCCATGCTGAATAAAGGATTAGCCTACTTTTTCAGGAAGTCCTTAAACAGTGTAATGTAAGTAACTGAATAGAACAAAATACAAATAAATAAAAAGCATTCATAGGTTCAGGCCAAAATGTTATCCCTGGTTATGTATAACTACTCCCTCAGTTAAATGAAATTTTTACTCTTGAAATTGAGGGTGAAGCTGAGCTCTCACAATATTTGTCTGGGGTAAAATCAGCTGCTCCAAGCAGGGAACAAAGATAGGTCTGTTTAAAGGAAAACAGGAGCTAGCAAACACGGATTTGTATTTGCTAAACACTGATCATGGGCCTATGAGGGCAATTGCTCATACACATTTGTTTACCATTGGCTGGTTTTGAGTCATTCACTGGCATTGAGCTGTGATTTACGGGTGGGTCTGAGGGAGATACAGCAACCTTTCAGATATGTCTGATACACCCTGTGCGCCTGCTCAGGGGTGAGGGGCATCGGCTGGGCAACCTTCCCCAGCACATCACGGCTTCATCTCACTGCATTTGGGGGTTCACTGGTCTGACAACCAAATCCCTGTGAAGTGATCGAGCTTGATTACAGAGAACACCAGGGTAAACCGTGGATATAATTATATTCTTGGCCCTTCTAGGCTTTTTAAATATAGATTACTACTATTACACGTCTTCAAATTATGACCTAACCTTTAGAAGCCGTTCATATGTACCACATATGGTGCATTTTTCTTTGGGTTCTGATTTTCAAATTTGTACAGTAATTTATGTGTGTTTTCAGCCTGAGCTCACCGCATTAACTCTTTCATTTGAGCCAGCCCATGTCAAAACACAGTCCTGGCACAACAGAGGATCATCTCAAATGTTCAGCATGAGAAGTAGCCTCTGTCTTCCCCTGGGAAACAACTCGGTAGCAAAATAATGGAAGAAAATTACTTCAGCCCTCTCCTAAGCCAGCTGTGCTTGACCTGCGCTTGAAACAGAAAACCCCATACGGCAAGGCTCACATCACACCTGTAGCACTGTGTCAGCACTGCGTCTTCTAAATCAAAATGCGAAGGTGTGTACATAAGGCTGTGAATATGAGAAGCATATTTGTGTCTGTATTAGGGTACTGGGCAAAAAAAAAAAGTGTACTTTTTAACAAAAAAGTCACAAAAGAGTCACCATTAACCATTTCTTACATGTTCAGGAGGATGATCCTACTATTTGTCATGCAGAGGTTATCTATTCACATCTCAGAGGAAATAATGACGTTTCAGAAAAAGATTCCCGTCAGAAATTTATTTTACAAAGAAAGAGACATAAACCCAAGTAATTAAAAGCTGCAGCTAGCTCAGTTTCTATCTCTTTAGTTGTTGTGAAGTGCTACTAAACCCAATACTTTCTACAGAGAAATTTCAGCTTCTTATAACAGTTGCTCACTAGAGCAGAAGTTATTTAGAGTCTAAAGATCCTATCCATTTATTGTTAAAGCTTTTTTTAACCGGAAAATTGTAAAATAGGTAAATCCTATTTGCCCATTTATAAAAACTGCTCCAATGTTCCTATGATGAATCAATGGGAAGTTCTTTTAATTAGTTGTTTCAAATCCAGTAGCTCCAGCAGAGCTCTAATTTGGTTACCCAATGAAACCATTTGGAAAAAAAAAAAAGCTTAGAAGCACAGCATGGCTTTTAATCACTTTAATGGCAGCATTTTCTTGCCATTGCTACTAGGCTGAAGGATGGTTTCTGGCTCTTGAGCTCAGCGCTGATCTCTGTTTCGTACTGAGGATTCTTTGCACCATCTGCTCTCTATGTTTTCCTCTACACTGTTATAAATTTCTTGAATTGTGATGAGTCATCTACAATGCTGTGAGCTCCTCATTTAATTTAGCCTGATAAGTTTCTTTGTCTTTTCAAATTTGTATTGAATAATGAAAGTTCATCCCTTAATTCAGAGTGAGCTTATTTTATTCCAAATCTCTTTGGCTTCTCTTTTTCAGAACCCCTTTTCTCATATGCCCCACAAAGGGCAGAAAATGTGTTTTACACAATGATCGGATTCCAGTGTCATTTTTCTAGAGACTTTCTCTTCTTCTGAAGTTGACTTCCATTATCTGTAACTGTCTGATTTCAAAATAGGTGATCTGTAGTGTTTCTGAAGCTTTTTTCCTTTAGCCCATTTTCTAATTTTCCAATTTCTTGTTTCATACTGTTTAAAGTAGGCAAGAATTTCCAGCATTTCTCCCCTGGTCTCCAGGGTTGAACAACTTTCATACAGTGCCCATTCACTATGAAGAGGCTTCAGACTCAATGGCAGCTGATGACAAAAGCTCACCTGATGTCTGTCTGTACATGGAGCACTCTACTCCTCTGGTATCTCATTTCAAATCTTACTTCTTTGGTGAAGAGAAACCATGACAGCTTAATGGCCTTTTACTGGCTGGCAGAACAGGCCCTAGCAGGCACACACAATCACTTTCTTGTTAAAAAATCTGCCATCCAACAAACAAGAACAACTGCATCACCGTTGTTCTCTTCCCTCCTTCCCCCCTGCATTGTGTCTGTTTTGGCCAAGGCTGACGAATTGCCGGCAGACACAAATTTGGAGGGGAGGGAGTGAAAGGGTGATCCGAACAGTAACACATGTTGTGTTGAGGACTGCAACTTTACTCCTTTGGACACCATCATCATGAGAAGGCTGTGGTCTCAGCATGTAAAATACTGCTGCCATTTGGGATAACGTGGTCTAATTTAGTTAGACATTTCTATACCTCTAGCATTACCAATAATAATCTGAATTTCATAATTACATGTTATTCTTTCCTTGGGACCTCTGCTGGCTTCAGGCACAGGAAAAACCATACTCACCAAAATATAGGGCTTTATCACACGTTTTCTGAGTAGGGGTTTCCCAGTAGAGGAGGGAATGCAGCCCCCTCCCTCCCTCTTCTTTCTCTCCTACCTCAGCTGCTTCCCAACTGCAGTTGGGGGAAAATACTGATTGAAGCCCACTCAGCAATCCTGCATTTCTTTGAAAACTCATTAATTGATCCCTCCTACTTTCATATGATATAGTTAGAGGAGGAAACCTGCTTTAACATCCTGCAGGGAGCCTGTATTCCTCTTGTTGGGGAACAATTTCTTTCATTAAGGGAAGGATAGTTGAGGGTGGAAGAAATATCAATGCTGTGAGGACTAATTTAGGTTGACTTGGGTTTCATGTCTGTGTCGGTCAGAAAACAAAAGAAGACTGTTTTCCTGTTCATTAAGAGAAAAGGACTTTTTCAAGCTTATATCACAGGTTAATGGCATGGATTAAATCACACAATAAACTATGCCTAACACAGCTATGAAAGCTGTGGTTATCTAATCATCCAAAATCCATTCAACAAAAATTTTCAGTAATTAATGAAACAGTATGGTATAAGTACATTTACTTTCGAATGTTTTATCCTTTTGCTTAATTATAATACTAGAAAGTTCTTTTGTAAACTACTGATAATATTAGATTGAAAAGGAAAAAGTGGTCTAGATTTGTGTTTTTCTTTATAAATAAAGCTATACTTTAAAAAAAACACTGTCAAATTTTTGTCAAACCATATATATGTGGTATTTATAATTGTTAATTATAGAGATGTACCGAGGTCC